CTGCAGTCGGTGTGTGAAGTGGCTGCGCACGTGTTCAATGATGGAGTAACAAACTGGGGTCGAGTGGTGACGCTCATCTCGTTTGGTGCCTTTGTTGCAAAACACCTGAAGAGCATAAACCAGGAGAAGTGCATCGGCTCGCTAGCGGGGATCATCACAGATGCGCTCGTCTCATCCAAGCACGAGTGGCTCATGAGCCAGGGAGGCTGGGTGAGTCACTGCCTGTCCTGAACCTCGCGAGCTTTGCAGAACAATCCAACATTTCCCTATTTCTGTGACCTGCTCACTGACAGCCACATGTGTCAGCGAAGCACAGAGATGACTCACTGCTCCAGTTAAAACCGCAGTCTGAAACATGTAGCTGAAGTTCTGGTGTTTCAGGAGCTCCTCACAACGAGCTGCCTGAAGTAGTCTTGACCTAAAAATGTGCCCCTGCCCAGTGCGGAGGGGGCAGCGTTCCCAAAGCTGAATCAATCCCAGATGCGCTGAGCTTGCTGGAAGCTGGTCCAAAGCTACTCTGGTGCTGTCTCCCAATTGCTGCCTCTGTGGGGCGGGCTGTGGCTGTGATGAGTCTGGGGGAGCACACTCAGTGCTGGGCACGCTGTACCCCAGCCCGCTCTGCCAGGGGGAAAAAGGCTTTCCAGGCTTTCCTGTCTCAGGGAAGGGTGTCTGCTGGGGAAATGACTTTCCCTTCTTTCTCCTAGGAGGGTTTTGTCGACTTCTTTCGAGTTGAGGACCTAGAAGGCAGCATCAGGAACGTACTGATGGCGTTTGCAGGCGTGGCTGGACTGGGAGCGAGCTTAGCCTACATGATCCGGTGAGCCAGGGTGTGCTGCAGAGGGACAAAACTCTGGGTGGACCGGCTCTGTTTGGGGCTGGCGAGCTGATCGCTTCCTCCTGTGAGTACTTGCGAAGCTGGACTTGGAGTGACCCGAGGAGGATATCTAGGCATACCCTGAGCAATCCTTTCCTGTGAGGGAAGGTGGGATCCGGTCAGATTGGGGGTACCGATGAGGATTTATTGCTTTGGGAACAGAAAGTGGAAGAATTGATACTCTACTGCTTTCCAGAGGATGATGACAAAGCTCCGGCGGACTGCTTCAGCTCTATCCTAGAGGGAACGGATTTGCTTAGCGGCGAGCCCGCGGGCACCAGCAGCTCTGGTCTGGACTGAAGCCTCCTGGGCTTGGCACGGCAGCTGGGCCTGGAGCAGATGTTTCAGTGTTGTGGTTGTGGGTTTCTGGAAATAGCGTCTTCTGCTGCTGGTGTCCTGCCTAAGCTTGCAGCCCTGCTGCTGGAGCAGAAGCTTTGAACGCTGGGTGTTGTACGAGCCTGGGCCTGCCCCGGCTGTGCTGGTGAATGGGCCTTTGGCCGCTATTGGCTCTGCGCGCAGGTGGAGCCCTGCCAGGGGCCAAGACGTGCCACCTGCCGCCAGAACGCGGGGCGCTGGGGCCCTGCCTGGCCCCTTCCCTCCCAGCGGGGCTCCAGCCAGGTCACCGAGCCGGCAGAGGAGCTTGAGGGGCGAGGGGGGGGATGAGCGAGGGGGGGCTCAGGGCTGTAACCGCAGCCAGCTGCGGCGCCGCCGCCGCGTTGGCCTGGCTGGCTGATCTCGGCTGCACCGATGCGACTCACCACACACAGGCAGTTTAAAAACAGGGAGTGCGTTTGTGAGCGTGTAAAACCCCACACGGGGTGGGGAGGCTGTAGAGAACCTGTAAATATCTATAAATCTGTAGAATATGTACATTTTTTACAGAGCTAATGATACAAAAAGGAGGAATTTTGAATGTGTAGAACTGCTTATGGGTGCACTGTACTTCATTCCTCATGTGAAGTAGCATTTTTGTGGCGAAGCCTTCTCCTGCCTTGACTCCGAGCGAGCCTTTCTCTGATGTACTTGAGCGACATTGCCAGGGAGCGCAACAAGGGTCAGTGGCCTGGTGGACTCTCGTGTCCACGGCTTGCTGGCAACAGTTGATGTTTCTCTTTTTTTTTTTTAAATGTTTTTTGTTTTTTCTAGCCCTTCTGGGGGGTGGGGAGCTGTGGAAGCTGGCATCCGTTGCTTCCTTGTCTTCCCTTCATTTTGATCCTCTAAGCCATGAGTCGAATGAAGCTGATGTTTGAATGTAAACGCTCTGGAGCAGAATAAAACTCGTCAGCTTGGATCTGCAGCTTGTGCAAGTCCGTCGGTGCTGGCCCTGGGTTCAGCCCCTGCCCCCAGCTGGGAGCGTTGCTTCTTGGCGGGCTTGCAGTGCTCGTCCGCCTCTGCCCTCTGACTGGAGCGCCTGGTTCTTGGGGAGTTCTGCTCTGTGGGACCAGGTCCCGCACAGCGAGGAGCATCCTTGCCTGCGGTGTTTGACCTGCAGCCCAAGCGATGCCTGATGGAAACCCAAATGGCGACCTGAACGATGGTGCTATTATCAGGCCTGCTTGTTTGCTGAACAAGCACTTAGTTTTGTCAATAAATGTCTTTTTGTTCTCGATCCTCTAGTACAAAACTCGCCCTTTCCTGTAGTGAGATGCTGATGTGCTGAACACTCCTGCTCTGCTGCCTGGGGGGCAGCCCACGGCCTCCTGCTTGTTAGAAAGCCTCTGCGGGCTGTGGAGAAGGGTTCTGGGTGTCCCGTGTCCCCGCACCGGGGCTCCCCAGAGCTGCTCCGCGCCGAGATGCTCATCTCCTTCCCTGGGTGTGTGGGTGGGGACAGTCCGTGAGGTGCCCGTGTGCTCTGAAGCAGCTTTGGGTGCAGCGCTGCCGAGCGTGCCGGGGCGTAGCTGGGGCCTGTCACCCTCTGCTGCAGTGGGGTGGGGGCCCGCAGCCCCCCAGCAGAGGGGGCTCCTCCCAGAGCTGGGGGCTGAACTGTGCTCCTTGCCCCTTCAGCGGGGGAAGATGCACTCCGTTCGAGCGTTACCCTTTCCCTCCCTCCACCGGGGCTGAGGCCTCTGGAGGGGGGACCCTGCTCCTCCCCGGCCCCCGAATTTCGATTCCTGCAGGTTGAGGAGGGAGGAAGTGGGGGGCTGGAGGGAGCAGCCCAGTGACACGCAGCACTTACTGGGGCAGGGGTTTGGTGAACAGCTTCCTCCTGCCCCAACCAGCTCTGCTGTGGGAGCCTTGCCTGGAAAATTCC